CGGTACCTACTTTGGGTTTTGGAAGCACAACTGCCCTCTGCAGTTTGGGACTCCTGTGTGACCCTGCCCAGATTTTAAGGTCTGTGGCAGGAATCTTGCTTTCAGTTCCTCTGACTTCAGAAGTGCTCTTCCCTGTGATGGACAGCCTTTGGGAGAATAGTGAAGAAGACAACGATAATCCCCATAGCTTTTCATGGATGGTTAATTTTATTCCTGTAGTTTCTCAGTCTTTATTGCTGCTCTTACTGCTGTTTTTGTTATTATTGTGCTGTTTTAAAACTACTTTAATGTTTTAATGTTAGACATTGATTATTATTTTGTGTCAACTTCCTTGGAAGCACCTGCTGAGCAGCAGGACAGACTTCTTTCCAACATAGGAATGCTATCCTTAAGCAGAGCAAAAGAGACCTAGAAGGGAAATGACTTTTCACTCACAGGGCAGCCCCTGACCTCTTGCAAGGGGTGGTGGTTGAACTGCAAAGGCCTTTCTCCACGGTGGGATGTTCCTTGCTCTCACCTGTAGCAGGAATAGCCTCTTCTTTGTGTGCAGGAGGTCCCAGATTCAATCCCCAATGGCATCTCCAAGGAAGATTCCTCTCTGAAACCCCAGAGAGCTGCTGCCAGTCAGTGCAGACAATACTGAACTATTGGTCTGGCTCACGCAAGGCATCCTCTGCTGCCCTCCAGTGTTGAGGTCACCTCCATACAACCTGGATCACCTTCTGTCCACATATGGCAGTTCCTTGGAGGCCAGACTGTACCCCTCCTTCCTGCCACATCTGCAGGCCCCCCTCTGCTGCCCCTCCAACCTGTCAAGCACCTTCAGTGCACACCAATACTCTGCGGAAGATGGCTTCCACATTTCCCTGGTGTGGGCTAGTTCCTGTTCCATGAGGAGCATATGGGCAACCAGGATGTTCCTCAGTAAAGCTCTTTACAAGCCGTGTTTAAGGTTTGTTAAAAACCCCAGGGAATTAAAGCAATATGCCCCCATTATGGAGTGGCAGCTGTGGGGTCTGCGTTGCTTATTCAAAGGGATTGGAGGGCACACTTTGGTGATGGGGCTTTGGAGAGATTAAAATTATTTTCAGCATTAAGCACAACATTTCAAAGTTAATGCTTTTGGTCTTGAATATGGATTCAGAGAGCAGAAAGAGATTTACAAGACATTACTTCTATGCAAATTTCAGCAGAAACCAAGGGTGGGCCCCCCTTCCCTTCCCTTCCTTCCTTCTTTCTTTCTTTCTTTTTTCTTCTTTTTTGTTGTTGAGCAAATTCAACAAGAGATTTGACTCGGGGGCTTACAGCAAATAGACTTTGGTTTTCATGCAGATTGCTGCCTTTAATGGCAGACAGGCAGGCAGGCTCAATCCCCTTGAAAATTCCTAGCTTGTCTGACTGGGATACTAACAGGGCACAGTTGAGAGGCCAAGCAATTACAGCCGGATGTGTTAATGTACAAATGGGGAAGGAGGAGGAGGAAGCCACAAGCTTCTTGTTTAAAGATGAAAACAGATGTTTCTCCCATGCTATGTTGGTGAGCAGCTGGCTCCACGCCACTCAGAGGAGACGGTTGCTGCTCAGAGGCCACCCCTGGCAAGGCACCCATTGGACACCTTCGCTTCAGTGGCCCTGATCTGCGGGAGTTCCTGTTAAACTTCTGCAGCAAAAGCATCAAAACACAGCCAACAAAAGGTGCCTTTCCGTGCAGGATTGCAGGAAGCCCCCGCCCGTATAATGAACAAGCAGCCTACGCAGAGATAAATGACAGCTGTGACTGAAGGAATAAACAGGATAATCTGGATTTAAATAAGTCACAAAGGGGTGGGGGGTGGGCTGGCAACATGCAAATTCGCAAATTTATAAAATGTATCCTTTCAGAATTAAGAGCTTGTTTGAAGCCAGCAGTTAAGAGCCATTATTCAGCCACCTTCTTTTCCCCCTCAAAGGCATTTCGGAGCCAGCCTTCACTGCCGCAACCAGGGACGGGAGACAAATTTCCTCCCGCTTGCAGATAAATAATATGTGCCCTAAATGGAACAGAGAGGTGGGCTGTTCCGACAGGAGAGGAATTATCCCATCAAGTTTTCCTGCCTGAGGCAGGGTCATAATCCAAGGAGGATATCGGAGCTTTGCATATAGAGGATGGAGGCATCATCAGCCCCCCTGAGCACCCCAGGAATACCCCCAATATGCCAAGAGACTTCTGGGGCCCATTTCGATGCAGAGGAGCAGCAGCATCTGGGGGCGTCACCATCAGGCTTCCCAGAGCCCAAAGCAATGGGTGCAGCTGACCTAGAGGGCTGTGGGGAGGTCTGATTGCCAAGGGGAAGGCTTGAGTGCCCACCAGCTCCTGCACTTGGATTGCAGTGCCAGCTAATCAAATATTTGGCCAGCCAGAGCAGCCAATGACCTTCTCCAATAACTCATGAAAATTACAAGGAGGGATGCGGTGAGAAGGGAAGAGCATGAGGCTTTTTCTGCTCTGCTGGCCTCTCCCTTTTATTCATGAGCCCTGCCTCTGTGGCCCCAGGAGTGAGAGACAGGCAGACTTGGTGGGACACTATGCGATGGGCCCCCAAAATGCCCTCCCCAGCATACACACACACACTCCTTGCCAGTGGCTCCCTTTCTGGAAAAGGTGGCAGCATAGGTGCCAACTTTCTGGGGCCCTGGGTGCCCAAGCACCCACAAAATTCCCCATGAAAGGGCTGGGCACCCACAAAAGTTGGTGCCAGGGTCCTGCACACTGCATGGCACCCATGGTCCTGGGCACCCACAGTCATGGGGCCAAGCTGGCACTCCTGGGTGGCACCCTCCCTTTTGCACGGAAGCACTGGCTTCATTTAGGGGAGAGGGGAGCAAGCTGGACCTCACTTGGGTGGCTCTGCTGTTTGCAAACAGATATGGGATCCAGACCTCCACAACATTCAAAAGGAATAGTGACAGAAAGGAACTAAGCCCCCCGGCTAATTTCACTGAAAAATGGCTGCTGCCCATGTTTCCCTACAGTAATGTTGCTTAGCGGCTGACTCAAATGATTTTGTCTTTGGCATTAGCATCATCCCTTGCTGTTGGCAAGGGTCCTTCCCTCTTCTTCCTCTTTTTGCATCACAGACTGCAGGAAGAGTGGGGGCTTTCCTGGGAGGAAATGCTGAGCTCGCAAGGCTCCTCCAGGACCACCTGTTAGATGTGCCCTCTGCTATCTCTGGCCTATTGCTTCCTATGCTTTCATTGCTGCCTGCCACTATTCCATTGTACCCAGCTAGAGGTTGCTGCTGCTGCTGCTGCTGCTGACCCTGCTGATATCCCAGGCAGCCAGGGACCAAGGCCCCAGGCCAGCAGAGGCTCCCCAGGAGCACCACTGCCACTTTGTCACTGCAGTAAAATGCTTGCAGTGCTCCTAACACCGAGGGTTCTTCTCTTAAAAAGGCATTATAGGCGAGGTGGCCACAGACAGCACTTGTTCAAAGTTTCACACTTTGTTGTGGTTCTTGACTGCATTGATTTAAATGATGGGATTTCTGCTATTTATTGACTGGCATTGATTTTTATCTGTAATTTTTTGGTGGTGTTTTAATTTATGGGGTTTTGCTTTCTGGCTGTGATGTCTCCAGACCACTTAGAGATTTTCCTTTTGGAAATGCCCAGCAGTATATAAATAATCTAAAACCAAACAGCTAATTCAACCTCCAACAGTATTTGCCACTGCAGAAATGGCAGAGGTGCTGCGCAAAGACATGTGATCAACAATGCCTCACTCTGAGAAAGGACCCTGAGAGCCTCAGACTGAGGTGGACAAAAAGGTGGTGGATCAGGCAGTGATAGGAAAAGGGGAGGGGAGCATGGAAGAGCTAGCTGTGGTGGGTGCTAGAGCTTGATGGATGGCAGCAGAAGCAGCCCCTGGTAGCAAAATGCCTTTCATATGGATGCCTCCACACCATCTTCCTCTCAAAAAAAGGCCAGGCATTTCAGAGCCAGATAACTCCTCACTTTTCAGGAAAGTTCTGAGGGTTCTCCTATCCTGCAGCTTAGGCTCCCCACCCCCACCTCTCACCCCCAAAAAACCAACCCCAGAAGTTACCAGAGCAGAGCTGAATCTGGGGGATGTCTGTCTGTCTGTCATCTGTCCTTCCGCCCGTCCATCTATTTCCATTTACAGTGGTACCTCGGGTTAAGAACTTGATTCGTTTTGGAAGTCCATTCTTAACATGAAGCTGTTCTTAACATGAAGCACCACTTTAGCTAATGGGGCCTCCTGCTGCCGCTGGAGCACGATTTCTGTTCTCATCCTGAAGCAAAGTTCTTAACCCGAGGTACTATTTCTGGGTTAGCGGAGTCTGTAACCTGAAGCGTCTGTAACCCGAGGTACCACTGTATATTCCACCTTTTTCTCCAAGGAGTTCTCCCCTTCCTCATTTAATCCCACAACAATCCTGTGAAGTAAGCTAGGCTTTGAGGCAGTGACTGGCCCTCAGTGAGCTTCATGACTGAGTGGGGATTCAAACCCTGGTCTCTCCTAAGTCCTAGTCTGACACTACACCAAAGTGGCCATGCCAGTAGCCATTTTCTCTGGTTGCTGCCCAATTGTGTCTGAGCAGCTGGCTAGGTCCAAATGGGAATCCACAGAGTGTCATCATAAACATTTCAGTCTGCTGCACCCTCCAGAGCTCCAGGGCTGGGGCCAAAAGGGGCATCTAGGATGCTGGTGGAACCCCTTCTGCTCTACCCTTCCCTGGTGGGCTGGGTCAGCCTTTGCTTTGCAGCTGCCATGGTGCGCAGGCAGCCGCCTTGCCAAGGAGCTCCATGCAGCTCCGCGACTAGTGAAGTGGCAAGCAAGTTCCTCCTGCCTCATAAAAAACACTTTGCAGAGGAACCTCAAAACCCAGCAGCAGTTAATTATTGACAGAGCATGTGAATTAGAGATAAAAGAAAAGTCGTTCCTCCTTTGCACGCAAGATAGTAAATAAATTTAATTATGGGACAAGAGGCAGGGGATCTTCGTCTGTATTAAGTTTTATTAGCAGAGACATTTAAAAGCATGTCATCATAACAAAAAGGTCTTGTGTAATCCTAAATGTACCACTTTGGTACAAGGCTCTGAAGTGAATAGGCTTAATTGAGCAGATGGCTTGCTGCTCAGGCAGGTATGGGACAGGTTTATTGTCAATTAACTTTTGTCTACATATGCCTATGGCAAATTGACTGTATAATGGCTTCCTGAGGCCACTTTTAACACTTGCCATGCCCTGGAGCTCAAAGGCAAGGGGTGGCCAGGCTCTATGTTCTGTTGCAGCGAAGGGCTGAGAGCATTAGCCTGTTGGATCAATGGCCCATCTAGTCCAGCATTCTGTTCTCACTGTGGCCAACCAGACGTCCCCATGGGAAACTCACAAACAGAATTTGAGCACAAGAGCTCTCTCCTCTCCTGTGGCTTCCAACAACTGGGATTCAGAAGCATTAATGCCTCTGATTGTGGACCCAGAGCATGGCCATCATGGCTAGTAGCCATTGATAGCCCTCTCCTCTATGAATTGCTCTAATGCTCTTTTAAAACCATTCAAGTAGTTAGTGGCCACCACTGCCTCCTGGGGAAGGTTGAGTTCTACAATTTAACTATGTGCTGTGTTAAGAAGGTCTTTCTTTTATCTGTCCTTAACCTTCAGCTTCATTGCATGTCCAAGAGTTCTAGTGTCATGAGATATTGTATTGTATAAACCTCTATGATGTCACCACTTACTCGCCTTTTCTCTGAACAGCCCCAAATGCTGCAACATTTCTTCATAGGGGAGCCATTCCATACCCTACATCATTTTAGTTGCCCTTTTCTGAAGTTCTTCCAACTCTGATGTGCTCATGCTGATCCTTTGGCAGGTGGGTGGGACATCTGGCACTGCCTTTGTCTGTGGCCAATAAAACTCCTCCTTTCTCTTGCCCTCTAGGGATGTGATGCCCAAGACTCTGGAGGGCCAGCTCACCATGGAGAAGACGCCCAGCTATTTTGTCACCAATGAGGCCCCCAAGCGCATCCATTCCATGGCCAAGGACACCAAGCTGATTGTGGTGGTCAGGAACCCCGTCACCAGGGCCATCTCCGACTACACCCAGACGCTCTCCAAGAAGCCGGAGATCCCCACCTTTGAGGTGCTGGCTTTCAAGAACCGGACTCTTGGGCTGATCGATGCCTCTTGGAGCGCCATCCGCATTGGGATCTATGCGCTGCACCTGGAGAGCTGGCTCCAGTACTTCCCGCTCTCCCAGATCCACTTTGTCAGCGGGGAACGGCTCATCACGGACCCTGCCGGAGAAATGGCCAAAGTGCAGGATTTCCTGGGCCTCAAGAGGGTGGTGTCGGAGAAATATTTCTATTTCAATAAGACCAAGGGGTTCCCTTGCCTGAAGAAGCCGGAGGACAGCAGCGCCCCCCGGTGCCTGGGCAAGTCCAAGGGCCGAACTCACCCCAAAATTGATCGGGATGTAATCCAGAGGCTCCGGAAGTTTTACAAGCCCTTCAATGTCATGTTTTACCAAATGACGGGCCAGGATTTCCAATGGGAGCAGGAAGAGGGGGATAAGTGATGCTGTGGCAGGCAGAAAGAAGTTGTCTCCTATCCAGAGGTAAATGAATTGTCATCAGCAGTGTGTATGTGTGTGTGTGTGTGTGTGTGTGTGTGTGTGTGATGAAACTCTTCTGTAGGGCATGATAGGGTCACCAAACTGGACTTTGAGTTCCTGGAAGGCTTTCCCATTGGAAAAGAACTGCTAAGATTCTGCCTGGGGTTTCTCCAGATGCACTCCTTAGGGCAGGGGGAGACAACCAGGTGTGGTTGGACTCTAGGTGTGGTTGGACTCCAGTTCCCATCAGCCCCAGTGGCCATCTTGGGCAATGGTTGGGGATTATGAGAGTTGGGAGTCCAGCAATGTCTAAAGGGGATCACTGTGCTGGCTACCCCTGCCTTAGAGCTTCCATCAGTGACTCACTTTCTATTGACTGCAACAAAATGGAGGGGCTCCAGGACACAGTTGGAGAATTTCCTCTTCCCTTGGAGAAAGTTTTTTTGCTAGGGTTGAAATTGCACCGCTTCTGGGGAAGGCGCATCATAGCTCAGAGGTAGAACACCTGCTTGGCATGAAGAAGGTCCTGGTTCAATCCCCACTGGTGGCATCTCCAGGTAGGGCTGGAAGAGACACCCTGCCTGAAACCCTGGAGAGCCTTTGCTGCTAGTCATTGTGGACGACACTGAGCTTGATGGACCAGTGGTCTGGCTTAGTGTAAGGCAGCTTCCTCTAGCCTTCCTAAGTTCAAGCCAGACTGCCCAGTTTCCTGCCTGTCAAAGCTACCTCCCTGGTCTCTCCTCAGCCCATGTAAGTGGGTATGAAAACAAAGCTTTGTGGAGAAGAAAGTTTAGAATCATGGAACTGTAGGGACCCAAAGTCCAACCCCCTGTCATACAGGAATCACAGACCTACACTGGCTCCCAGTATGTTTCCGAGCTCAGTTCAAATTGTTGATGCTGACCTTTAAAGCCCTAAATGGCCTCGACCTAGTATACCAGAAGGAGCATCTCTACCTCCATCGTTCAGCCCAGACACTGAGTTCCAGCTCCGAGGGCCTTCTGGCAGTTCCCTCACTGCAAGAAGTAAGGCTACAGGGAACCAGGCATAGGGCCTTCTCGGTAGTGGCGCCCACCCTGTGGAATGCCCTTCCATCAGATGTCAAGGAAATAAACAGCTATCTGACTTTTAGAAGACATCTGAAGGCAGCCCTATTTAGGGAAGTTGTTAATGTTTGATGTTTTATTGCTATAACAATAGTAATAATAATAATAATAATAATAATAATAATAATAATAATAATATTCTGTTGGGAGCCACTCAGATTGGCTGGGGAAACCCAGCCAGATGGGCAGGGTATAAATAAATAATTATTATTATTATTATTATTATTATTATTATTATGAATCCATGACAGCTTGCCATCCAACCTCCATATAAAAACCTCCAAGGAAGGAGAGTTTACCACCTTCCGAAGGAGTCCATTCCACTGCCATTCATGAATTAGGGGGGTGGGGAGTTTGAGGCAGTTCATTTCCACATCAGTCCATTTTAGTCCCCCTCTGGTTTTTTTAATGAGAGTTAGAGCCATTTCCGCAGCTGTTTTTCTTTCCCCGCATCTGTCAGCCTGGCCTCGTTGCCACAGATGCACGTGCATGATGCCTGTTGCCAAACTCCAGGCTCAGCTTTGATTCTGGCATGCAGACGCCCTCTTGATCAAGCTAAATACTGGAAATGCCACGGAAGGCAGCTATGGCTCCGTAACGAGGCAAAGCCACCCCGGGGCTGAGAGCACATCATGCGCTTCATTACCCAGTCAAGTGGCCCCCAAGCTTGGGATCAGGAAAAAGGTGCTAAATTCATTTGTCAACTTTTGGCAGGAGGCTGGGCTCCAGGATGGGACCATTTGTTTCCACACAAGTAAATGTCGGTTCATATTAGCCCGATTAGGAGTAAAAACAGCATCTGACATAAAACATTCTTTCCTCCCCCCCCCCCACCCCGCAATCTCCACCCCCCACTCAAATTATTATTGCATGAAAATTGGAAATCTGCACCGGGGCTGACTTTAAATTGTTTCACATGTTATTAAACTGTCATTTCCTCTGCTAAATGAGAGCCATGTTGTTGTGCAATTTAATTCACAGTGATGAATGGATTCAGGTGAAGGACTCATTTTTAACTCTTACCAGGTTTTTTGAGCTCCTCATTGACTAGCTGGGGGATGCCCCACATTGAGAAAAAAAAAAACAGTATTCAGTGGGGGGGGAATCACTGGGCACAGCTGCGCCCTCATCATGCAGCTCAGCATGATTCCCTACCCCCACAATCCTGACCCCATGGTAAAATCAAGCATGTTGGGCAAATACAGCGGGAGTTGTGTAGCCACCCCCTCTGCTCAGGACCAAGGCAGTTTGCTAGTCAAGTGGGAGTTGGGACTTTGCTGTAAAATTGGAGCAATGGCACTCACCTGCTGCTCCTTTGTCATCTTGCACCAGCCAGAACAAAACAGTGACAAAGTTTCTTTGGTTCTTCCTCTAGGTGAGAAATGGCAATTGGAGATCAGCTGATGGAGGGGGAACATTCAGGTTACAAGAGGCCAAGATCAGGACCATTAAGAAAAACAAATAGGAGAATAACTTAAAAAGTGGAGTGGCCTGCCAGCCACAGCTATTCAAACTAAACACACACACGAGCTACAGCAAGGTAGCCGTAGCTCTTTGCAAAGCCAAAGAGATCCTCATGTGTGGGACTTTGGAGCCATAGACAAGCTGGAAGGTGTGCAGAGGAGGGTGACTCAGATGACAAAGGGTCTGGAAACAAAGCCTTATGAGAAACAGTTGGGGGAGTTGCGGATGTTCAGCCTAGTTAAGAGAAGACTGAGAGCATGGTATGATAGCTATCTTCAAATACCTGATAGGCTGCCACATGGAAGATGGAGCAAGCTTGTTTTCTGTGCTCCAGAGGCTAGGGCAGGCTTCCTCAACCTCGGCCCTCCAGATGTTTTTTGCCTACAACTCCCATGATCCCTAGCTAGCAGAACCAGTGGTCAGGGATGATGGGAATTGTAGTCTCAAAACATCTGGAGGGCCGAGGTTGAGGAAGCCTGGGCTAGGGCCTGAATGACAAGAAAGGAGCTTCTGACATTAGGAAGAACTTTCTGACAGTAAGGGCTATTTGACAGTTGAATGGACTCTCTCAAGAGGTGGTGGACGCTCTCCTTCACTGGAGGTTTTTCAACAGAGTTTGTATGGCCACCTGTCAGGGATGCTTTGGCTGTGATTGCTGCATTGTGAGTGGTTAGCCTGGATGACCCTTGAGATTCCTTCTGACTCTATAGTTCTATGATTTTATATCTTGGCTGTCTCTAACTGCTGCCTTTCTCCTCCTCGCTCCACACAGAATCTGCCTGAATTGGGGAAAGGGCCGGACTTGCCTAGCCTGAAATCTGGGTCCAGAACTGGTCACCACAATTGAAGGGAATTTGCTCAATGGACAAAGATGGGGGCAACACCATCCCTTTTGCACCTGGACAATCGCCTCCTTCCGCCCCACATTTCCAGACCAGCAGGATCCTGAGCATAAAGGACACGCCGAGGGAAGACCCTCTTTGGCCACACTTGGTGGAGTCAACTGATCCTCTTTGTGCATCCAGAGAGGAAGAAGGATTGACTGAGACCTTGGCAAGAGATGCTAGGAACTTCTTCCTGTCCAGGGTGCCCTTTGCAGCAGGAGGTGGCCACTGTGCTGTGGAAATGCCCAGTTGATGCGAATGAAGGGCAAGAGCCATTCCACACACACCCTGCATCCTGCACCATACATTCAGATGTTTATTTTTGATATGGGTGGAACCCCTGAGACTGACTTCGGGAGCGGCCCCACAAGGCCAAAGGGAAGGGAAGGCCTGGGTCTCGCCCACCCAGAGATTCAGGAAATCTGACTAGCATCCCAGTGTTCTTCCCAAGCACAAAAAGTGGGGCTATTTACGTGTGTGCGTGTGTGTTGTTTTTTTACCGTTCATGTGACCCACCCTCCACCTCTGTGGAGAAGTTGCTGGCCTGGAGTCTCAGCATACTGGTGAGCTCCCAGTGCAAAGAGCTGATGGCATCTGGGGGATTTATTCTTCCTGGCAATTGGCCTGCATCAGCCACACTGGTGGAAGTCCTCAGCTCCACCCATCTGCTTTTGCTACACAAGAAGACCTCCTCATTCGCCACCAGCTCAGAAAGCGCTCCCTTGGATTTGGGCTTTTGCCTCCCCTCTTTAAATGTCAGCATTCCCAGCACACAGAAGATTGAATTTTGTATTTGATTTCAATTAGCAAAGCATAAATTATATTTAATTTTCTACTCACAGAGACTGGATGAGTCATTGTCCTGGAAAGCTGGGGGAGGGGGGTGTTCAGAGATTGACAATGGGAGCATTCATTGCCCAGGAGCTAAATTGCTTAAGCTGCCTCCCTCTTCCATCCATCCGCTGTCTTCACGCCTCCCCTCCCCCCTCTGTGTCATCACCCTCTACCTGAGAGATATGGAAATACCAAGCGTGAATCTGGAGCCAAACCTGACTAAACAATAAAAACCTTGTCATGGCAGTTGCCTTTCTCTACTCCCTTTATGAGGTGGGCAGGGGGGAGGGGGAGGGCTGGGCTTGCTGCATTTGCCACTGTTGTTTCCAGGGAGGGGTGGGATTTGATCGGCCAGCAGGAAACCTGACAAAGCCACTCTGTTTTACCTGAAGAAGGGAGGATTAAATATGAAGCAGTGAAAGAGCACAAAGCACAACAGACACACACAGCCTTTGAATTTTAGCTGGGGCTATTTGTGTCAACAGAAGGAAGCCTTGTTGCCTCTTTGCTAGACAGAGCTGGACCTTGATTGCAGAACTACAGGTGTGGAAAGAGGCAGAAGGAGAGGTCTAAGGAGGAACCATGGCACTTATCCCACATATGTCTCCATCCTCTTATTTCTCCCAAAGTCTGCAGTGCTTCTGAATGCCAGTTGCTCGTGTTACCCGAAAAATCCGAGGGCTCCCTTGGACAAAATAAAGACACCAACCAGGATAACTTGGAGCAAAACAGCAGCCTGTAGGCTTGGCCTTTATTGAACTGTTGCAACAGGGTGTTCCCCTCACTTGCGAGAGAGAGGAAAGACCCAGAAAGATGGTGTGCAAGACCTTATAAAAACTTTTGAAATTCCCATCCTCTAGGTCAAGCCCACCCCCAGAAACATCATGCATACATTACAGAAAGGAGGGGTTGAGGGAGGAGTTGTGGTGGTAACCTGAGTGTCCTGTCACCTGGCTGGTTCCTCCTTTCCCCCTCCCCATGAGTCACTTCCAGGAGACAAAGGGGAGTTGGCAGTCCATGCTGAATCCACTCCCATATGCAAGTTCTTTGTGATCTTGATGGTCTTCTGTCTAGGACCATCAGGGTTGGCATAGCAACTGGGCAGGGCTTCTGTGGATGTGCTGGGATGGTGAAGGGATTATGGCTGACCAGAACCAAGCCACCCCCCTTTGATAGTCCTTGTCATATGGAGTAAAAAAAAATGGAACAGTGCAAATCCGATGTATGGTTGATTTTTCTATGACTTTATAACAGAAGTGTGGCATATGTAGTGTGTGAGTGTGAGTGTGTGAAGTTTGTACAAACTGAATGATTGGGGTGGGGGGTTCCTGCTACACTCGAAACCACAGGAGGGGAAACAGTGTTTCCCATTCAGGCATCTAGTTGGTCACTGTGAGAACAGAGTGCTGGACTAAATGGGCCCATTTGGCCTGATCCAGCAGGCTCTTTTTACATTCTAAAAGTGCTTGGGAAAGTTTCCTTCTTGGTTCTTGCCACTAACCCTGTGAGACAGGGCAGCAAGAATGAAAGACTGGGACTCCCTTGAAACCAGGGGGGAGCACTGTGAGCGTCATTGCCAAGTGGAGATCAGAACCCAGTCCCAGCCACCCCAGCCTCTTAGCTGCCTTATCTCACCTCCTCAGCTCCTGATGTAAGCTACGGAGCTGCCTGTCTCCTTGCCTTGCCCTGCACAGGAAAGGGCCCCTCATCTCAGTGAGGCTCAACTCTGACATCACACCAAGCTATGATTGGCACTAACCACAGTTCTGCATGATCTGAGCTTCCCAGAGTGCAATGGGTAGGTGGTGGTGGCTGCTTGCCTGCTTTTGCTCTCCATCTGTTCAGCTTCATAAATCCATGTGAGGAGGAGCCATGGCCATAATGGTGACTTGTGACTCTACCTGCCAAGCAGCTTGTGGTTTAGCAGGTCCTTCATGAACTGTCCACTTTGAAGCTGATGGAAGTTCAGGCATGCAAGATATTCCACAGCTGGGCTTTGCAGGGCATCGGAATACAGCTGTGGTGATGCCTTTACCTGGACTTCCTGGCTAAAAGGAAAGTGGGTAAGGTCAGGTCTGTTAAATCCTCCCCTTGTGCTGCATAATGACCACAAAGGGAAATAGGTTTGGAGGTTTCCTGTCTGGCATTCACACATCCCGGTTCAGGAAGTTGGGATTAGCTATTTCACAACCTCATGCTATTGTGTCATCTGATAAAAAGCAACTGGGTTTTCCCCCCTCTTTTTTTTTTAATCAACAAAATGAAGAAGTAGTGAACTATAAAATTGCTAATTATTTTCTAGTAAATTTACTTTTGAATAACTTGAGACACCAATTACAGGCACCATTAAGCACTATTAGCGGTGGGTGTTACCAAGGCAGGGTGGAATATTCATTAGGCAAAAGAGAAAGGTTTTGGTGCCAAAGCCCTTCCTGCTCAGGAAGCATCTCTGAGGGCACTCACTCTCCTTGCAGCCACTCCACGCCTCCGCCAGACGTTTAAAAAGTCACCAGAGGTTCAAAAATGACGATGTGGTGGCATTGTGTTAGGCAAACAGGCAAATATTTTGAGTAAGCTTTTCAGCTTCAGTTAGACAGATCCTTGCAGCTGTACAAAATAATCACCAGAATTAAGATGAAAGCAAGGAAAAGGCAGAAAACTCTCCTCTTTGTGTGCCCTTTGAAGATGCAAGGGCCATTGTACTTTTAGATAATCAGACAGAGGGCTGTGCCCACCTGCTGTTCCCTTGAAAGCTTTCCAGGGCTCTGCCATCAGTGTGCCAAGCAGAAAGCTGGCTCCCTTCCCCCTCCTGCCTAGGCTGGTGCCCCACAGTTGGAGCCACTGCCCAAAATAAAGTGTGGGTCTTGCTATTAAAGGAACGCTTCTCCACCCCCACACACACCCACAAAGAGCACCAGCCTTGGGTGAGACAGCAACAGAGTCCTGAGAAGTGGAAAGTGAAATCTGTGTACATTGCGTTGCTGGATGCTTATGGTATAAGCCTCAGATAACTTGAGGGCTCAGTATAGATCAGGGTTGGAGGAATCTCAGGCCTGGGAGCCAAATGCAAAAGTGTAGAATGGAAATGGTTGGAGTCCCTCATGGGTTGGCATTCTTCACAGGAGGATCAAACAAGGCAGCATTTGGAGCAGAGGCAGACCTTTATAATATGCTACCCAGTGCGAGGCCATTTGATGCCCTCCCCACAGCCCTTGCAGCCCTGGCTTAAGCCAAGCCGGGCTTTGAGAAGGAGGCATGAGGCTCTGGCAGGGTTCTAGAGCCCTCACACCTCCTTCCCAAAGCCTGAAAGTGTTTGCCTGGCTTTGGAAAGGAGGAAGGAAGACTTTAGGACCCTGTCAGAGCCATCATGCCTCCTTCCCAAAGCCAGACAAGCACTTGCTGGGCTTTGGAAAGGCACCCTGCACGCCTGGTGTGGGCTCACACCGCCCTAAATCTGCCTCTGATTTAGAGCAGGCTTGGCTGCAACTCCCATCAGCCTCAGTAAGCATGAGGGATGATGGGAGTTGTAGTCCAAAACATCTGGAAGTTACTTGATTGGCTACCCCTGATTTAGAGTTTGCAAAAATGGAGCAGGACTGGCCGTGCTTGCTGCCTAACAAGCTTTCAAATGACGAATTCCTTTCAGAAATAGTGTCTCTTCTCCTTAATAGGATAGTGAGTCACAAGACTTCTCTATTCCCTTTCATCTGGAGACGGAGTTCTATGAGAAAAGGTTGAAAGAGTTTGGTATATTTAGCCCAGAAAAGAGGCGATTAAGAGGTGCAATAGCCGCCTTCAGAAATCTGAAGGGATGTCAGGAAGTTGAAGGAGCAAATTTGTTTTCTGCTGCTCCAGGTGGCAGGTCCTGATCTAGAGGGTCCCAGTTGCTAGGAAGGGGATTGAGGCAAAACATGAGGAAGGAAGTCCTAATGGTACGGGCTGTGGAGCCATGGAGCAGGGAAGGCCTGGGAAGTTGGCCAATTCTCCCTCTTCGGAAGTTGTAAGTAGAGGTGTTCTATCAGGAATGCGTTGGAAGTGGATCTCATGAACTAAGAACACAAGAAAAGCCTGCTGGATGAGACCAATGGCCCATCTAGTCCAGATTCCTGTTCTCACAGTGGCCAATGTGTTGCCTGTGGGAAACCAGCAAACAAGACCTGAGCACAAGAGCTTTTCTCCTGCCTGTGGTTTTCAGCAACTGGTAATTAGAAGCACTGCTGCCTCTGACCATGGAGGCAGAGCATAGCATGGCTCAATAACCATGGATAGCCTTCCCCTCCATGAATTTGTCTAATCCTCTTTTAAAGCTGTTGGTCTTCAGTGCCTCCTGTGGGAATGAGATCCATAGTTTAACTCTGAACTGCATAAAGAAGTACTTCCTTTTGTCTGTCTTGTATTTTATAATACTCAGCTTCATCAGATGTACACAAGTACTGAGCAGGTAAGGTTGGACTGGAGGAACTTTGAAGTTCCTTCCAACTCTATGATGATTGATTGATTGGGCATTTTCACTCTCCCCTGAACTTGAGCCTAAGGGAAAATGCTGTCTGCTGTTATATAGCATTAAATAAAAGCAGCTTGTGAGAAAAGCAAAGAATTCTGGGAGTTGTGTCAAGCATCTTAGCAGATTTCCTTACAGAGCAGATCTGCACAATTTGTGATGCACCAAATGGAATACATCCCTGTCTCCATGGGATGTGGTCTGCCAGAATCCTGAGACACCCCTCCCCCGCTCAGTTTTTGCAGTCCCAGACAGGCACACCAGCCCCAAAAACCCATTGAGTCCATACATGAGTGGCCAGATGGGTGCAGCCCCTGGTGGGGGCATATGCAGCAGGTGCAAGCTTGTAAAGCAAGACCAACAAGCTGCTCTCTGTGCTTTAACTACCATAGCAGAAGCAGCAGGAGCAGAACCGTCTTGCGCCTACATTCAGGGAACAGAAAGGCTTTCACCTTGGTTTTGCCAGAAGGGATCCTACAATACCTTCATCTTTTTCTAAAGGACCCTCTGAACTAGCTAGGGTTATCATCACCCTCAGGAACCCCAGCAACCAGGAAGCTAAAGGGCTAGCTTGTTGCAGGGAGCCGTGAGGCAGGAGGAGAGATGGAAATCTCCACCCTCTTTTCCTAGATAGGCAGGCAGATATTATAATCATCAACATCATCAGTGCTTTTTTTCTAAAAAAATGTTTAGGGGTACTCTCATTTTCCTACTCATATTGAAATACTGCCCCTCAATGAGGCCAAACTTAGATTCACAAAATGTTTAGGGGAATGCGTACCCCTGTGTACCCCCAGAAAAAAAGCACTGATGACAACAACAACAACAACAACAACAGATCCCCTTTTATATGTATCTCAAGGCTATTAACAAATGTGCGATAAGAACAGTAGAGGAAATAACTAATGGGGTTTTTAAACAATAAAAAATGAACAGGTAAGGCAGGTGCCTTCATCCACATGGAAAAGCTTGTCAAAACATCAGTGTCTCCAATTGTTTCCAGAATGTACAGAGAGTGGGCGCCTGTCACATCTCATCAGGAGCACTATTCCACAGAACTGAGGAAGTCGATGGAAGCCCAGCTCCAAGTCACTGTTATGAGGCAGGCATCCTTTCCTGTAGTCTGAAAGGCCAGTTTTTGTTTGTTTATTTGTGACATTTGTCAACCACCCAGTAAGACGAAGTTATATTAAAATATGATACCTGCATCTATACACATACCACCCTTATAAAAGGCCCAAGTGAATAGAAAGGTCTTAATCACCTGGAGCCAACAAGACTCCAAGGAAGGTGCCAGGTCAGCCTCTGTGGTTTAGCTGTCCCATAACTGGAGTCCAGTACTGAAAAGGCCATCTTCCTGGTGGTTATCTGCCTTACTTCACTGAGTGGTGGCCTCTGGAGCAGGACCTCTGCAGCGAATCTTAAGATATGGCTAGTTTCATTCAGGAGAAGATCCCATAGCCTCAAAGCTGTGCAGAAAGGGTGTTGAAGCAGCACTTTAAACTGGGCCTGGAAATGGACTGGTGCTCCTAGCCAGTGCAGCTGATAGGTGTGTCCTGCACCAGAGGGTGGTCTGATGGGAGCCAACCCTCTGCCATTTGGGCAGAGGCATAGCAAGGTCAGGTGGTACCCGGTGCAAAAAAAGTTTTTGTCACCCCCCCACACACACACATTGCAATATTTGGAAACGTTGTCCAGAGTTGTTGAGCCTCCATTTTTAGGGAGGGTTGGCCACAAAACAGATTTGCTTGCAGATCGTGCCCGCTGCCTGCCAATCATGGAGATCCACCGCCAATTGCATAAAACTGCCTGCTGGGCATGCGAGCACTGCTCGCCAGGGGGTGCAAACGCCGGCCGCTGGGGGGGGTGCCAGGCTGATCACCGGGCAGATTTGCGCAGGCAGATTTTCATGACGACGATCACTTCAGTGAGGCCAAAGGGGCAACTCGGCACTCAAAGCGAAAGGTGTGGCTACTGATCAGAACAACGTAAGTTGAGTCCTCTTGTTAGAGAAGGGCCTGCCATTGAGTTGCCCAGGGATTAATAAGAGTTCTTGGCTCAGGGGGGCATACGGTACCCCTTGTCTGTGCTCCATCACTCCCAGGGTTATATTGATATTAGGGGGAGTCTCCTTCCTGCCTCCTCCTGCTTGTGAGAATTTAGGGACAGCTTTTGCCTCCAGCCTGCTAGCAGAGAAGTCAACAGAGCATATCCCTCAAATGTCCTGCTTTAAGCAGGTCATCCCAGAATTACAGAAGCCATCCCAGTTTCTGACTGGATGGCCCCCAAAGATGCCCATTTCTGGTCTGTGCTCATGGACCAGTCACCTGGCCCCTGCTAGAGTGTTGCCCTCATGCAAGTTGCATAACTCATGTGGGAGTGCAGTCCCAAAAGACGTGGGTTTTTCTGGGGGAGGAGTGCATGCTCTCATGCAAGTCACTTGGCTCCAGCAAGAGCACAGCCCCAAAGTCGTTCGTTGTGATTTTCCTCTGTTGCATGTTGGGGGGTATGAGAGAGAGGCTTTACCTAGAACTGGTGCTGGCTGACCCCCTGAACCCATCCTGGTTGCTTTGGGCTTGCCTCTCCTTGGCTTGCTCAAGATGTGGCCTCTGTGCCTGAGGGCAGCCCCTCCAAATGTCCATTTATTGGCAGCCTATTTTTCCTGGCTTTCTAGTAGTTGAGCTGTCAGAGGCAGCTGGGTTCTTGCCCTTCATCCTTGCCATCACCCCGTGGATATTTTATTGCAATGAAAACATTTTTAAAAACCCATCCAGGAGAGTGATTGGAGGAGACAACACAGGCAGCAAAGGGGTCCCAGGCCTTACTGGGTGAGGAAACTCTTTTTCAACTCTGCCCCTGGATCATTTTCTGCAGTGTGCCTCTTAGCCTCCTGGTCCTCAAGAGGTGGCTGCTTGCTCTTCAGTCAAAACACTCTTCCTCCCAGCCAGCCCTCTCCACCCATGAGGTTTCTGCAGTTTTATCCCATCGGGGGGGGGGGTGATGGGTGGAGGAACTCAACCAGCTGCTGCAACTGACTTGAAAGTTTTTGAGATGAGCAACGGACAAATTTGATCTTTTGTAAAATATTTAGTCCATCCGCGCTGTCTCCTTTCCCCCAAGGAAACACTTCTCGGCACCAGCTAATTTTGAGCTCCGTCTTGCCGTGTGGGTTTTCTAATGTTATGGAACAGTGAACCTCCTGAATTAATTAATGTGCAGCTCTTCAGTTATGCAGCTAATCTGCATATTTTACTAACTGGATGCAAGATGTTTCTGTGGAAGGGTTGCAAAGGCACCCAGCACAGCTCCAGCTCAGGGCCCACAGACAGCCTCATACCTGGCTGTGGGGGGAGCGGAGGAGATGGATGTCCTGGAGCCTGGTGGGACCAACCACAAGAGAAGGAGGGGCATGAATTTCATGGCATACCTGAAAAGGATCCTTTTGATGCAGAGTGGCAATTTGTATTGGGACCACCATCCAGGGAGAGGGGAGGTTTACCCACTCCCTCCCCAGCCATAATGCCAATGCACACACCTCAAATATCCCTTAGGGAAGAAGCTCCCCTTGGGTTGTATTTCATTTGGTTTCTTCCCAGCAGCAGAAGGATTGTACAGGGAAGCTCTGGGACAACTTCCTTTTTTTCTCATTATATTCATAGACAGTCACCATCCACTTTCTTTTGAGGTCCCATTCCTCATTTCCCCCTCACTACAACAACACTGTGAAGTAGGCTAGCCTGAGAGACAGTGAGTGACTCAATGTCATCCAGTGAACTTCATGGCTAGGAGAGGATTTGAACCTGGTCTTTGAGGTCCAAGTCTAACACTCTAGTCCAACCACAATACTTGACTGGCTCTCTTGAAATATCTCGTGGACTCTCTCTCTTCACAAATGAGGGGTGACTCTGCTGGTCAGAGGGGAAAGGGGAGTGGGGGGAATCATACCTGCCTGGTGGTTCATTTCTATATGTGGCCCCTAGGTCTTGTGAGATTTGCTGGAGCTGCACAGAAGCAGCATCAGGACAGAACTAGGAAGAGGTTGAACAAGCAGCTGCTGGCCCAGAATCTCAGGTGGCGGGGAACACACAGGAGAGACCAAGGAAGCTCTGGGACTGGAACTTTGAATGGTATGTGTGGTTCTGGGTTCCTGCTGGCATTATCTGTGCAGAGGCAGAAGGAGACATGAGAGGGGTGCAACAGGAGTGCCCAGTTCTGATCCAGTGAAACAGCTGAAGGTCAAGGAAGTGCAACAGCAGTAGCAGCAAAGCAGAACCTTGGAGAGCTCCAAGAGAGCAACTTCCTCTGACAAGGGTTGGAAGCGAACTGAGCCCTTCTAAGCCTCAGCCTCAAGTTCTGACCACTTTTGGCAAACTAAAATCTGGCTTAAGGACAGTCACTTCTGTGCTCAAGGACCTCTTGTCTGGTGTGTTCCCTGCACCATTAGACTGGCACAGGAGTGTTGATGTACTTGGCACCTTGAGGCCCAGGGAAAGGTTCCCCTAGGTGTCTGTACCCCAGTTCTATGGGCCTGGGTGCTGTGGGGTCTGATGTAAGTGGGGTCCTATCTACTAGCCTCAGGCTGTGAGCATCAGGATCAGGGCCAGGAACCAGCTCATTAGCCAGGAACACTGTAGCCTCTGACTCTGGCTCCTGGTCACTGGGTTGTTATGACAAGGAGTGAGGGAGGAGCCCCTCAACAACCAGAGCTCCTGAAGTCCCAGGGGCATCAATAAAGTAACAGGAGCTTTCCAGGCCCCATCTCAGGTGCACAAATGAGTTTGGTTTCTGGTTTCTAGGATGGAATGGTGTATTAGGGAACTGTCCCCAGGGACAGGGTGGGGCACCCAAAAGGGCATTTGCTAGTGCACTCAGGTGGAAATCAACATACAGGCACATGCTACACAGCCAAGTCTGGCCAGAAATACAAAGCAGGCAGCCAGAAATATGAGGAGCCTGAACAAACAGAACAAAAAGCAGGTAAAGGTCACCAATCAATTATCCAATTTTTCAAAACAAACAAGGGAGGGAGGGAGGAGAAAGGCCCTGTTCTAAATGTGTACCTGGCCCAGAGAACTAATACACTCAGCAGGCATCACTGTGAAACTGTCACTGGAAGAGTTTGCTCACTATTCTGGGACATTTCAGATGGTCTTAATAAAGATGTTGTCTGATGATGGATTTGTTACACACACACACACACACACACACACACACACACACACCCCTTCTGAGGGAGCAACTTGGCTGCCTTTGCTTTTTGAGGAACCCCTTTGGAAACCAACTTCAGCCTCCCCCAACCTGGTGTGCCCATCAGCCCCAGCATCATGAAGTGCTATTTGTTGTGGCTGATGGGAGTTGTATCAGGTTGGGGATCAGCTTGGTGAAGACTGCAGCATTGCTTAATTCTTGGCATTGCATCTTTCCCCTTGTCTTCTCGTAAACTCCATTTGATGCCTGTGTTGTCTTTATCTTGATGCACATGTTAATTCCTGCTGGACTGAGGTGTCTTGTTTCAATCTCTCATGCAGAGAGATTCCTATCTGGACATTTTGCATACTGCAATTTGTAAGTTCAAAGCATTTAAATCTGGTCAATTAGAGATGGCTATGCAAGGACAAGGACAAGGGAAGGGAAGATTAAACTTAGCCCAATATGAATTAGACAATGGAGGAGGATAAGGGTATCTTTGGCCTGATCCAGTTGTGACCAGGTTTTTCCAATGTTCTTTTGAGCAGCACAGGGGCTCCCTCAGCTGAGTTCAGCACCATCAATTATGGCTCAGTTCAAGATATTGGTTCTGCTTGCCTTTAAAGACTGGCCTGGCTTAGGAATCAGGTATGTGATGGACTGCCTTGCCCTGTGTGAGGAGAACTACACCTGAGGATCTATTTAGGGTGTCCCTAAAAAGCAGGTAGAGGGACATGAGTGGCGCTGTGGGTTAAACCACAGAGCCTAGGACTTGCCAATCAGAAGGTTGGCAGTTCGAATCCCTGCGACGGGGTGAGCTCCCATTGCTCGGTCCCTGCTTCTGCCAACCTAACAATTCGAAAGCACTTCAAAGTGCAAGTAGATAAATAGGTACCACTCTGGTGGGAAGGTAAACAGCGTTTCCGTGCGCTGCTCTGGTTTGCCAGAAGAGGCTTAGTCATGCTGGCCACATGACCCGGAAGCTGTACGCCGGCTCCCTCGGCCAATAAAGCGAGATGAGCACCACAACCCCAGAGTCGGCCACGACTGGACCTAATGGTCAGGGGTCCCTTTACCTTTAAAAAGCAGGTGGAGACAGGGATCAGGTGGCAGACAAGGAGAGACACTTTGCAGTGATGGTTTCCCAACTGTGGTGATGCCCTTCTTGCTCCTGGTGCCCACTTTGCCACCATGGCATTGCCAGGCAAAGACTTTTCTTTCCCCGCTCCCCCAGGCCTGTGAGCAATGCTAATTTATTAACTCTCCTGCACTGTTCTAAATGCCTACTTCCTGGAGTTCTATTTTTCTGCTGTTTTAGATGGGGGGTGGTGGACAATGGTCTTTTCACTCTCTTGAGGACCACCCTGAGAAGGATCAGGTGTCATTTTCAAAAATAAACAAATGTTTTAAAATGTGCATGCAATTCACAATGATATAATAATAATAATAATAATAATAATAATAATAATAATAATTTAAAACAACATGATTCCAATGAAAGGAACATTAAAAACGAGGGATCAGGAAAACAATGGTCACGAGAGCATGTCATTCAATAGTGTTAAGCCCATTGGAACAGGGTGAGCATAATCTTTTTTCTAAAGACAGGCAAGGAAGGGTCTCATGGTGGAATCAGTTCCAGGATTTGGGTGCCACAACTGAGAAGGCCTGAGGGGGGACAAAGGTCTTGCAATCCCCCAGTGATTTACCTGTTAGTGTGAGGAGCCTTCCTGGGGTGGGCTGATCACCAGACAAGGCATGCCTTGTATCTAGAGTCGATTATGTCCACAGTGCCAACCTGTGGGGCTCTCCTAGAGCCAGCCTTGAACACACATCCTGCCCAGGAACCCCAACAGTCTCCCCTCATTGACCAGAGTTCAAATCCTCTCCTAGCCATGAAGCTCACTGGATGACAGTGAGCCACTCACTGTCTCTCAGGCTAGCCTACTTCGCAGTGTTGATGCTGTGCAAGGGAAATGAGGAGTGGTACCTTCACAGTGCAGTCTTTCAGTTGACCTCGCATAGACTGGCTACTTATGTGTTCCAGTCATGACAAAGAGGCAAAGTCTCTGAATACCGTAAATGGCTGTGCCCTAGAACTCACCAGAGGGGCAGTGACATTGGACTTAATCTTAAGTGGTGCCCAGGACTTGGGGCAAGATGTAAGTGTTGTTGAGGCAATATTTACTGCTATCAAACCCAAAATACAGTCATACTTCGTTACGTCCGCTTCATGTTACGTTCTTTCAGGTTATGTCCCAGCGACCTGGAAGTACCAGAAAGGGGTATGCAACAACAGCAGCAAGAATACTCATCGCAAAGTATTGGAAGACACAAGAACTTCCCACGCTGGAGGAATGGCAGATGAAACTTATGGACTATATGGAATTGGCGGAAATGACTGGTAGAATCCGTGACCAGGGAGAAGAGTCGATGGAGGAAGACTGGAAGAAATTCAAAGACTATCTTCAGAAACACTGCAAAATTAAGGAATGTTAGAGTGATGTTGTACTGAAAACAAGTGGTTTCCAGCTGTACAGGTTAAAGTTAAGGATAGATTAAGATTAAAGATCAAGATTAAAGATGTTTAAAGAAATGGAAATTTGATAATAAAAGGGAAAAATTTAAAACTATATGACATTAAGATCAAGGATTAGGTTTAAAAAAGTTGAAGTTATATATTTTAACGTTTTATTAAATTAAAGATTGAGATTAAAAAAGTGGAAAAGAAACTGCTGGACAAATAATGTGGATTGGAATACAAAAGAGGGAGGTATGAAGAAGTCCAGAAAATAAGTAATTTAAAATTGGAAATGGAAAAGAGAGTTTGTTTTTAATTGTTATGTTTTGTGTTTTTATTGTTAAGTTTTGTATTGTTGTTTTTTTGTGTGTTGTTTTTCTTTTTTGTTTGTTTAAAACCTTAATAAAAAATTATTAAAAAAAAAAAAAGGAAGTACCAGAAAGGGTTACTTCTGGGATTTGCCACTCGCGCATGCGTAGAAGTGCAAAATGACATCACGCGCATGCGCAGAAGCTGCAAATCTCAACCCACGCATGCACAGATGTGCCGCTGTGGGTTGCGCTCTTTTCATGTTGCGGACGGGCTTCTGAAATGGATCCTATTTGCAACCAGAGGTACCACTGTATATGCAAATGTCAACTGCCAAGAAAATCCAATGTGGTTACATTTTGCTTTAAAAGAAATGAGGGGATCAGTAAAAAAGGAAACTGAAAGAGAAAGACAGACAAATCTCTCCCAAATGCCTGGGTGTTGTATCAAACCACAATAAGAGCAGCTCAGTGGGAAAGGAAACAACAGATTGGGAAAAGTACCACCAGGGCCAAGAGGACGTCAGTGTGGTTGATGAGCAGAGGCAAATAAGCTATTTGAGCCAAGAAGGCTTCCTTCATTTTGTCCAAATGACATTTTGCCCAATCTATGGCCAGCACAATGCAAGAAGGCAAGAAGGGATGCTAAAAAAATAAGTTGAGGAGCACATTGCTAATAAGGCCATAATGTAAGGCCTTCCTGCACACCAGGTGGGTTAATTATAGGCATCATTAGGGTTTCCTCCAAGTGGACTTGGATGTTTGTTTGTTAGTTTTGACAGGGGAGGCAGGGACTGTGCACACACCCAAATCTCTCCCATCCTGCTGGGAAAGGAAAGACAGCCTTTTAGCGCAAAGCCCTGACCTACCTGGTCCAGCAGAGGAGAGTTGACGGCACAGCATCTCCACAAAAGAAGAGGGAGCCTCCCCACCATCTCCTTGCAGCCATCTTCTGCTGGAAGCAAGAGAGACAGGATGCTCACTGTTGCTATTTCTCACCACTTTATCCCACACATGCTCTTTCCACTCGCTTCCATCTCCTGCTTGCCTCTCCTAGATGGGACTTCTAGTGCAGCGGTTGCCCAGGGGCAGGTAGTGCCACCTACAGTGAGTGAAGAAAGCTCAAAGGGCACACCTGGGGAAAGTGCTACAAGCCTCACATCCCTCCCCACTTCTCACCCCCAGTTCTTGGGGAAAGAACTCACATATTCCAGGCACTTCCCATTTTCTCGTGACACCATTAAACATGCAAATCACAAATCACAGCCCTTGCTTGGGAAAGAATTGCTTCCCTCCCAATTACAGTTAATAGGAGAAAATTAATGTACCAATTAATATAGCTGCTTTTAAAACTCCATCTCGTGTGTTAAATGCTGCTTCTGGTGGTGTTGGTGTTTGAGATGTGGGCCAAGGAAAGTGGTGGCTGAGCAGAGGAAGCTCATAAAATTGTGCCTGCCTGTTACTTAAAGTGTTTGGCACGAGAGGCAACACCTCAAAAAGGAGGTTATTTAACATTTCAAGGTTTGTGGGGACCATAAATCACAGCACACATGCCAGGCTGGTTGAAAAGGATAGAATACATTCAATTTTACAGTATATTAAACTTCATCTAATTTGAACATAGGAACGGACCAGGCAAAATAAATGACCAATTTCTGAAGCAGAAATTACCATTTGGCTGGTGCCATTATGAAGCTGCTGGCATTTTATCATGTTCTTAACATAATATTGCCTGTCTATTGATGCATAGTTATAATGCCAGCACAAATTAGAAGGCAGCAAGAGAGGAGAGTATGGAGGGTTTTGTAAAAACCGGCATCATTTGTCAGGCATTCCTCTGGAGGACTTTTGCACTGGCTGATAATATGCAGATTAAAGCAGAAGTAAATAAAGGGGAAAGGCATTGGCAGGGGGAGAAATAGAAGGAGACCACAGGCCTGGGGAAGGGGAACGGGGTCAGGCAGGCAGGAGTCTTCTGGAGCAGGAAGAGACTCTTCCCAAATAACTTCTGGCACTTAGCAAGGAAACAAAGAGGGAAACACCACTGGAATGCCAATGTCAGGAAAGAGATGAAAAAGGAGGCTGGATGCAGTCAGCTTTCCCAAGCCTTGTGTGACAGCCAGATGTTTTGAGCTACAGCTCCCATCAGCACCAGCCTCATACAGCTGTGCTCGCTGGGGCTGGTGGGAGCTGTCATTCCAAACATCTGGAGGGCACCAAGTTGGGGGAGAGAGAGTGCAGATACTGAAGTAAAAGCCATGGCTCTGGGATTTTTGCTAGCAAAAGATGCTTGCCTAATTTATTATCAGTTAACAACTCCCAGCAGCATCTCACACCCTCCTGCTGGGGTGGGGACTAGAACTAGGGAAAGGAAGAGAAAAACCATTTCTGATTCACCCCACATTGTCAATCCATCCCAAATACTTTTTGCAACCATTTGCCTTGGGCACCCTCCTCTCCTTAAGGCTCAACACAGACAGTTCAATTTACTGGATACTGTGCTCCTGAGATACCCCCAAAGATGTGTCTACACCCAGGAAGCTGTGTTTACACACACACACACTCCTGCCTGCATAGTGTTCTCCCGCCTTTCCTCTCTCTGCTTCCATCATCACTCACCAGCTGCAGCAACCACAAATCTGATTGCAAATACAAATTATGTTTAGTTTGCAAAACAGGAGGCCGGTATTTCCATCCTGTAAAGTTCATTGTTCTGGTAGGCTTGGTATTATAGCGACAATATATTATGAGAAGGAGAAGCAGCTGGCTGGATCCTGTTCAGAGTGGGAGGACTTGGAAGGCAAAAAGTGTTAGAGGGAGGCAATCACACTGGGGATGGAGAAGGGTGGCCGGCAGGTACCGGTAAATATTGGTGCAGGGGCAGTGGGGAGATGCACCATGCAGTGTTCTGATTAGATTACCCACCCCACAGTCCGTGGGGCCAGCAAACAAAGCTTCTTGACTCCAGAAGGCAGAATGTATGCCTGTCAAATAGTCCAGAATTGCAGTTTGGGTCATTTTTTGAATAGTTTGATCCTTTGAGGCTGTCGATTACACAGCATCACTCAACCCATGACTCTAAGACTTCCCCAACACTCAGACTTCCAGTTGCCTTCTCTAATCCACACAGGACTTGCTTAAAATGAGCCATTCTCATATGGCTGTGTCTGTCCGTCCGTCCGTCCCCCACAATGCCATAATTATGGGGGTGGGGATCTCTTGTGCAAGTCTTTCTGTTGAGTTGCTCACAGATAAATGGCACCCCCACAGCAGAACATCTAAAGTGGACCTATATGAAGACTCGATCAGCTCAAGCTGCCATGGTGAACAGGTTGCTGTATACAGGCGGAAGAAGCAATACTGAGACACCAATGTGGAAAGCTGCGTTTCAACACAGTTCCTGGGACATGAGATGAGAACGATGAGATGAGAACTTCTGTTCTGGAACACCCTGTGCCACGTCTAGCAGGACATGCAAGGAAAACTGATTCTGGCTCTGAAACTGGGGTTCCCTGCACCTCCCGGTGATCCCAGTAAAGGGATAAGTCTCATTGCCTAAGACTGGATGATGCCAAGACCATCATCCCTCTGAACTGGGATATGGCAGGGGAGAGGCTGTAGGCTGAGCCTCTCCCAGCTGGACAAATAGGCCTTTATCATGAGTGTCTACTTGTTAGGGTTTTAGTCCTGTTTGAAATGTATTGAAACTGTGGTTTACAAGGTGATTAATGAATCAGTGGCGAAGATAATGAATCACAGATTCACAGATTTGTAGTTTTGGAAGGGACCATGAGGGCCATCTAATTCAACAATGCAGTAATTTTTCACCCAATGTGGGGCTCAAACCCACAATCCTGAGATTAAGAGTCTCATGTTCTACCAGCTGAGCTTTCCCTCAGCTCAAATGCAGAAACTTTGTTTGCAGGTTCCCTCTCTAACATTTCCCCCTCGAGTGAGTTGCCGCTTACTCTCATCTGCTTCTGCACAACTCTAACTTTGAACCTCACCTTTCAGGCTCAATAACAGGAGCAAATAATCTAATGGGTGCCCCTTCTTGGAGCAAACTTGTTGCTCAGCTATGAAGGTGAAATCTGGGCTCCCAGGCAGCCGTGCTGTGCCCTGTCCTGGCTTAGGTTGCAGCCAAGATCTCTCTGACTCTCTAACCTTCATCCTGGTGATGTTGAGGCGCTCTGCTCGCTTGTCAGGGTCTGTCTGCACGTTCGCACTTTTATGCCTCCCGTTAAATATGGTCTTTGTTGTGCTTCATTGATCTTAGAGCATCTTCGGCTGTTTACAGCTTTGATAATCTTTGTGTAATCTTCAGGGATAATTGAATTCCTACAAACAGAGCTGAATTTTAAACTCCAGCAGATTTAAGCACACTGGGAGGTGGGGGGGGGAGAACCCAAACACCTTACAGTATGAAAGTCAAAACTGTAAGAAGGAGAAACACTCGCT